AAATCCATCTACATTCAACTGTTAACAATGGTGTTTAATGATTTCAAAAGTAAAATCGTTACCAAAAAACCAAAAAAAAAACAATTTGTTAAGTTCTTTTCTCTCACTGAATATCGATGGTCACTTTGGCAGCACAACCAAATCAGGAGAACAGGAATTTGATTTTGATAACCCCCAATTGCACTTTTACACGTTTGACAAAAGTTTGTGTTATTCGAATTTCAAACATCCGCTTTCAATGGAAGGCTCCAGTTGTTTTGCTTGGTGAATGGTGACTGCGGAAGCTGAAGAAGCGTCTTGCTAAAGAGGTAGACAGAATTAATTGGAATGAATTTATTATTGGTTTTATCTTTCCAAAATCGTTTTAGGAAACTGTTGCATAGTAAAAGGGTAGTCATGTCTTTCTAACTCAGCATAGGATTTCTTTACAAAACATTTTCCGCTATTGACTTACTAAGATTATCTCCGACCATAATTTAAATTTTTACTCAAATTTAAATTAACGTTTAAATAAAAAATTTGATTTGATATAAATGATTCCAATGGATAAACTTAAATTTAAAGAAGAAATACCTAAATTTAAATGAAGGTAAACCCAAATTTAAAAGGGACCATTAGATTATTAAAAGATGGTAAAATCTCACCATCAAATATTTGAGTCTCTCTTGATTTGAGTAAAAAAATTAGTTTTTCTTGATTTGGTATAAGTTTGAGTCAAGGGTTTGAGTAAATTTTTTAGATTTTTTTATTCAAATTTAAATTTAAATCTAAATTTGAGTATGAACTGAAGATGCTCTAATAAGTCTAATTTGGTGTATTGGACTCCGAACGATTCTTACATTATTCCAACAATTTTTCAACCCAAATAACACTATTCCAGCAATTGCCCAGCCCAAATAACATAGGCACATGTCCAGCCAGCACCCAGAGAAGAAGCACAGAATTGATGCCTATTATTGCTCAAATCTCAAACAAAATCCACTCCAAAAGCTTCAAATCACACAATACATTATCAATAGCACCAAATCACAGCCCTTGGGAAGGACTTGAACATTAAATTCAAAGAAATTTTAGAGAATTTGCATATCCAAGAAACTTGATACAATTTCTAAAGACATTCAAAAAATCAAAAGCCCCTATAACCACAAAATAAAAAAATGAAGCATAACACTAAAAAGACCACCAAAAAGGGGGCAAGATGTAGGTCTCGACAGGTCATATTGATAATGTCATCTGAAGTAGTGATGACGTTAGCCTTCGACTTTTTTTCCACTACAAGAAAAAGGTATCTGGTGCTTCGAAGCTATTTGTTTCGGCCTATCACAGAAGCAAAAAATGGGGTTTTTGCTTCGGTTAGGAAAGTTGAAGCAAAAAATGGAATATTTGCAGCAGCAATAGGCCGAAGCAAAAAAAATTTGAAACAAATATTCAAAATTTTTTGCTTAGACTGAATCCCGAAGCAAATTCTCTATTTTTTGCATTAGCATAATCTATCAAAGTAAAAAACAAGAGTATTTGCTTCAGCATTCAACTGAAGCAAAAAAATTAAATACAAAATGCCGTAATTTTATATTAATTTATCACAGAATGATGTGGTTTAAGATTTCAAAAATATGAGAAATTGTCTAAATTCTCATTACAATTTTGAAAACATGATAATCTACAAAAGGAAGAGGAAAAAAAAGTTGATACTCAACTGGTAAAACAGGATCATATCCAGTTGGTTGCAACAATGTCAGCCAGATCAACCACCCTCTGTGAGTAGCCCCACTCATTGTCATACCAAGCAATCACCTTCACCATGTCATCTCCCATAACCATGGTTAACGAAGAGTCAACGGTTGAGGACACATCAGTGCATCTGAAGTCCACCGATACAAGTGGCACATCACACACAGACAGAATTCCATTAAGCTCTTTCTCAGCACTCTCTCTGAATGCAGCATTCACCTCCTCTGCAAAGGTCTTCTTCTCCACCTGAACGACAAGGTCCACGACTGAGACGTTAGGTGTGGGCACACGGAGGGCAATGCCATTGAGCTTTCCCTTAAGGGAGGGTAGGACAAGGGCCACTGCTTTTGCTGCACCAGTCGAAGTTGGTACTATGTTGAGAGCTGCAGCTCGTGCACGTCTAAGGTCCCTGTGGCTTGCATCAAGAAGCCTTTGATCTCCGGTGTAAGAGTGAGTCGTGGTCATCGTTCCCTTTATGATGCCTAGAATATGCATACACAGCACATCAAATTGGACGACGACATTTATCAGAAACATTGACATATGTTTGTGCCCACAAGGTTGTGACTTTGAATATGCATGTTATGGTGAATGTCAGAGGAACGTAATACAAAGATAGGAATCAGGATCACATCACATAGCTCCATTGAGTACTCTTAAGTCTGTGTGACTTCATAAATGTTTAACTGGCTATATATAGATTCGTCTTGTTCAATCAACATGACACCATCTTGAATCTAAATGATCAAAAAAGTGTTGGGTATGGAGCAAACAAATCTTGACATGGCATAACTTGCATTGATACTTACCAGAGCTAACAGATAAATAGCAATGACATCAGAGAAAGATAGCATAAACATAAGTACTGATGAGGCATTGAGGTAATGAATTACCAAATTTCTGGTCAAGAACCTTGACAAAAGGTGCAAGGCAGTTGGTAGTACAAGAAGCGTTACTGATGATAGGCTCCTTAGGGTCGTATGCATCAGCATTGACGCCCACAACATAGGTGGGAATGTCCCCTTTCCCTGGGGCTGTAATGAGCACCTTTTTGGCACCTGCTTGTATGTGTTTTCCTGCACCATCCCTATCCACAAACACTCCTGTCCCTTCTATGACCAAATCAATCTCCAAATCCCTGAATTATCACAAGTATACAGGAAAAAAAAATTAGCTAAAAAATGTACCCTTTTGCCAAAATTGCTTGATGGCATTCCTCGGTTAATAAGAGGAAAATATAGATACGAAATATGAGTACCATGAAAAACAACCCAAAAATAAATAAATAAATAAGAAGTAGGCGTAATTGTAATTACTTCCAGGGAAGGTTGACGGGGTTGCGGTTAGAGACAACTTTAATGATCTTTCCATCAACGGAGATGGCAGCGTCACCGGAAGGTTTGACATCAGCGTCGAAGATGCCAAGGATGGAGTCGTACTTGAGGAGGTGGGCGGCTTGCTTCACGCCTCCAGTGTCATTGATGGCTATAACGTCCAGTAGGGAGTCCTTCCTCCCATGCCAGCACCTCAAGAAGTTTCGACCGATCCTACCGAACCCATTAATGGCCACCTTCAGCTTCGCCTCCACCACTCCCCTCTTGTTGATCCCTCCTCCAAACTGTATCCATTATGGCCGGTACGTACACACCATGTCAGTATAACTCAACAATCAACCATCATTTTACATTACAAGAACACTAAGTAATCTAATTTTTTTGCTGGCTTAATTTACTACAACGGTTGGATTGTTGGAACAATATTAAAATTTATTGTTAATTCAATAGTTGTAATGAATTATATTAGTAATCTAGGTCATCAAATTAGGTTCAAATAGTATTTACGTAATTAATTTGGGTGGNTCAATAGTTGTAATGAATTATATTAGTAATCTAGGTCATCAAATTAGGTTCAAATAGTATTTACGTAATTAATTTGGGTGGAAGTATTATATATGATTGTATGTTTAGCCCAATTTCAATTTTCTAGTGTTTTTGGACAAAGTAGAAATGTTGGTGTTTCGAGCTAGATTGACTTAAAGTAGAACACAAATTCAATTCATGCTCGCGAAACTTAGCCAAGATTAATTTAAAATGTTTCACATGTTCTTCAAGGGTCTGGCTGTACTCCACGATATCATCGAGGTAAACAACAACGAAAGGGTCAACGTAGAGGGAGAAAGAAAATTCATCAAATAGATTGTTTGTTTGTTTTTTTGACTAGACTTAATCGAGAGCTAATTAAACAATAGGAGAGTAGTATTTTGTGGAATCAAAACACGTGGATTCTCAATAATATTAGAACAATGTTATTTGAACTTAATTCATAACTATTAGATTGATATTAGTCTCAATATTTTTCGAGATTATCTATCATCTATTAGTTATAATTCATCAGATAAATAAATTAATTTTAAATAGTATTAATGATAATAATATTAATATATATTTATAAGGTAGGGCCGAATTTGTTTAAGTCTACCTTGTACTTTGTCTCATAAATTAATTTTTTCTTTTCGCACAAACATGTATTTACGGTGCTACTCATATAATGCACGAAAAGTGTGTACTTTGTTTTTTAGTATGGTTAAAATTTAATACGGTTCTAAAATATAGGTGAGTAGTTTTATTGTAGTTAAAAAAAATTAAATTTATAAATAATTAAATTTATTGATATTAAAAAATTAAAAATAAAAATCATTAGATAAACCAAAGAATTCAAATAAAATGTGCTCTCGTTATTTTGTGTTGAAGACCTTCTTGTTGTATTATATAGAAATTTTTTGGTCTACCTTTTTCTTGTCTCGTTAATTAAATTTTACCTACACACAAACATATAGTATTACCCGACTATAATGTCTATTTCTTCCCCTGTCTTTCTCTTCTTCAGGGAAAAATAAATATTTTTAATAAAAAACTTTAACATTTTTTAGATTTAATGTAATGAAAAATATTACACAATTTAAATAGAATCCAAAAATTACAATCCAATTGCATATTATCCCTTAAATGAGTACCGAAAGATTAGGTCCCGCTCAAAAAGTTGATAGGACCCATATGCTTTTTAATTATAAGATTTTGGATTTCATTTGAGTTGTGTAATATTATGCTAATGTAATATGAATATCTATCATTTTTGTATTCAGAAAGCGTTATCCGGACACCAGAGCACCCGAATAATTTTTTGGGGCACAAACCATCCTCCTATTTTTTGGGTACATAACAATTACCAGGATAAATCTATAGGTAGTCCCAAGAGAAGTCTTAAACGAATAATCAGAACGACGTTGTTAAGTATATAATTAAGTATTAATTATATTACTTAATCAGCAGTAAACTGTGACACTCACAGCCGAGGTCTGGAAGGCAACAACAGAGAACAAATCATCAGAAGCTTTCGTAGAAGAGAATGAAAGAGAGGTAGCTGAGCTGCGAAGCCCTGCGAATTCGGAGAACCCTTTATTGTTCACCTGCACACATTCAACGCCTCAACTTTAAGCATCTCACAGTAGTAGTGTGAGCTTGTTGATACCATATATATATGCTTAGCAAAGATGAAGGAAAGAGCATTCAGTGCTAAAGAGGACCTGGAGAGAGGAATTGGCCAGGGAGAGAGCAACCGAAGCCATGCTGGCTTCTTTGGTGTCAGCTGGATCAGTTTTGTGATGGAAACTGGCAATACAGTCTCGAGGCTGAGGGATAAGGAAGTTTAAGTGGGAGGGACAGAGAGGATTAGATTTTTGATGATAGATAGGATAGCCTCACACTCAATGAATGGCTCTGGTTGGGTGTGTTGTTTCCGCCCACGTATGGCTGTGGTTGTGCTTAACTGGTTTTTCTACCTTCGGACTTGGGGTCCATCTTACCCCATGTAAAATATAGAAAGGTCTCTTGAAGTATTTTAATAAAAGAGTGAGTTCTTTATAAGAAAATTCAATTCCACATCGACTAATTTTTTAAAAGAATTTTGATTTATATACTATAATAGTGAACGTGCATAAGTGTGGGATTAGCGGGAGAGATATGATTTTTAAAATTTACGCAACGGCTAGTTTTTCAACAGTTATTTTTCTATTTAATTGTTACACTTATTATTTGATTAAATATGAAAGTAATTACGTAATATCAACATTCATATTTTTACAATATATATGATGGTGTTGGGATTCGGAATGTGAGTTAGATGCTTGAACTGAAGAGTTCAAGGCTAGGTGATGCTAGTTCAATAAGTGTGTGAAAGAAGGTGATCAAATTGGGATGGAGCCTAGTGGCTCTAGTTGGTACTATAGTAAAAATAGAAATTGAGATTGAGCTGGAGAATGAAAAGATATATAATGGTTCACCAGCTATGAAACTTGGTTAATCCACTTTAATGGAGTGTCTTGCTCTCGGAGAAATTGTGTATTACTTGCAAAAGAAGAGTCGGTTACAATATTTCTCTTATGCCCTTTCATGAGTAAAGGCCTTGGTATTTATAAGAGATGGTGTTGTCATTATCAAGTGGTCCCTAGTTTGTTAGGATTTCGTTGAGGGAATATTTGGGCCATTTGAGTATATATTCTCTCGGTTGTTAGAGGCTACATTCTCTAGGAGTGACGTAACCTTCTAGAACGTGTTGTGGTGGCAATATGACCTATCCTCCAACCTGGACATGTGACGATCTTGCACGCCTATGATAGAGCCTATCACTTGTTGAGTGTACTTTAAGACGAACTCTCCTGTTGAGGGTAGCTCGTGCATACGGGAGATCAGTTCAACCAACTGTCACGAACTTGTGATGTTGATCCTTTTCAGGATTTCTACAAGGTGATCTAAGCGTTCCTCCTTGTGGTTGTACTGGGCTAACTTGGGTTCCTTTCCTCAGATGGTCCTTGTCGTATGGTTGTGTGTTGGACTAACTTCTTGACCAAATTGCCATTGTCTAGTGGTGCCATTTTTTGGGTATCATCAGTTGCCTTTAGTCTCGAGCTTGATCTACCTGTCCTGTCATAGCTTGGGACTGTGTTCCAAGTATGGTTAAGGTNGCGGGAGATCAGTTCAACCAACTGTCACGAACTTGTGATGTTGATCCTTTTCAGGATTTCTACAAGGTGATCTAAGCGTTCCTCCTTGTGGTTGTACTGGGCTAACTTGGGTTCCTTTCCTCAGATGGTCCTTGTCATATGGTTGTGTGTTGGACTAACTTCTTGACCAAATTGCCATTGTCTAGTGCTGCCATTTTTGGGTATCATCAGTTGCCTTTAGTCTCGAGCTTGATCTACCTGTCCTGTCATAGCTTGGGACTGTGTTCCAAGTATGGTTAAGGTATTACCTCAATCTGAAAGTAGCTTTGAATTTGAAGACATGAGGTGAAAGGGCAGTTATGCAAGGAGTAAGGTGTTGCACGAGCGTGGGGAATAGGTAACGCCTTGTTTTTCGAAGCATGCCAATAACATCATGCCATGTGGAGCGGTGTGCAGGAACATTAAATGCGCTTAGAGAGAGAAAATTGCCAAAACTTCTTCTATTTAAACTTTTCCCTAACCAAACCTTTCACTTTACCAATTTCTTTATTTTTTCACTCTAAATTCCCCTTTCTAATTCTTGAATCTGCTTGAGTTATGAAGTTCTTTGAGTATCTCCCTGAACTCTGAGAAGGATTGAATCTGTGGTTTAAGCTGGCCTGATAGATTCTCTTGGTGATTCACCTTTGTCCATGTTTAGATTCCTTGTCCTTGTTTGCTATTTGCATTTTCTAGTTATGTTTTTTCCTTCTTTTCCTCATGAACTTTGCACCAATTCTGAATTGCTTTGGTCCTCTATGGTGGTCCCTAGGACTTCACTTCTTCGTTCTCCATTTATGCTACTTTAGGGATTTAAGAAGATCATTAGTACTGATACCTTTCGTTCTAGATCCTTGGATTGTGGCTAGGGTTTTATTATTAGGTGGTTGGTGCTTAGATCCTTATTCGATTGAGGATTCCACTTTTCACATATCTTGAATTTCCCCAGAGTTAGGCTATTTTGAGTTCTCACTTTCATCCATCTCTGAGACTTTTTCTGAGGCTACTGGATCCTCCATCTTCCGCATGCTCGGGGATGCGAACTACGATCTTGAGGTTGAATCTCCACCTTGCAGGGATGAGGAACCCAATGTTGAGTCGTCCCATTAGAGATAGGTGGTAGATCTAGATGCGATCAAGGAGCCTTTGCCCCATCTTTCTTAGGGACAAGGTTCGTCTTGTAAGGAGATATCCCTTTGTTTCCTTAAGTATGTACCAGAGGAAGAGCTTTTTGGCCAAGGAAAGAGGAAGTGTGTTTCCAAGAAGAAGGTCTCCAAAACTTATTGTTTCCCCTATTCCAACGAGGTCAGTACTTCAAGGAGACATTAGGAATTGCGAGGTGCTTCTTTGAATTTTATCATGAGTCGAGTTTCTAAGTGTCGGCTTTACACCCTAGTTGATCATTATCAATTTCCTCATGACGTTAAAGGCTATCCTCCTTCCAGAGTAGATTTGTTACAATATCTACTTATCTGAGAAGACTTACTTTTTTGTTTTTGCCTTTGAGTTGGGTCTGAGGTTTCCCATGCATCCCTTTCTGAAAAGTGTTCTTCGATTTTATAATATCTGTCCCGCTAGGATGTCTCCTAATTTAGAGGGGCATTGGTTGCTCTTTTGGTTTGAAAGAGAACAACCTGAGGGGAGCTCCTTCGATGGCCGAGCTTCTCCATTTCTTCAGAGTCAAATGTTCCCAATTGGATGGCTTCTTTTGTCTCAACAATGCTTGGGAGACAGACACGATCAATGCCTCCGACGTTCTTTGTGTCCCCAAAATTTGGGGGTAACCCAGGTACTTGAGTAACTGTTAGTCTTTTTATGCAAAAGTTTTTTTTTTCTTCAAGGTGATTCTTTTTCTACCCTATTGATGTTGATACTTCGTTTTACTTGGCAAAATTCTGTCCCAAGTTGACCCTTTTTGAAGAGCTCAAAGTTGCTAAAATCAACAAGTGTGAGACGAGGCATATCAAGGAGCTCATTTCTTCTGAGAAGTTAGCAAAATATGGGTTTAACCCACCTGAGTTTGAGGAGCTTCTACCTTCCCTTGTTGTTGAAGGCAGTAATCCTACCACTAAAGTTCAAGGTGATCCTATAGGTATAGGTGATTAACCTTAATCAATATATAAATTCAAACAATAATAAAGTCAAATTAGTGTGATAAAATAACTAAAAACTAGCAATTAAAGTCAATTAGGGTTTGTGCAGTAATTAGTGTTTTATGTGTGTTATGTTTACAATTTGTAGGTTTAATGTAGAATTACTATAGAATACAAGGAGCAAAGTAGGGCAGCTTGAAAATACCAAGGCTAAAGTGTAATTAAATCAAATGAAGAGTCAACATAATGCAACTTGCGAATTCCAACAAAGCTCCACCGTTCGGACGANAGCAAAGTAGGGAAGCTTGAAAATACCAAGGCTAAAGTGTAATTAAATCAAATGAAGAGTCAACATAATGCAACTTGCGAATTCCAACAAAGCTCCACCGTTCGGACGATCACCCTTGATCCTATCTTCATGCCTTCCACCTCCTGCTCCTTCAAACAACTATAAATAGCCATCTCCTCTTCAGACTTCAGCAGGCCAGAACCAAGAGAGAAAAGAAAGAGAAAAAGAAGAGAGAGAGAAAGGAAAGAGAAAGAAAAGAGAAAAAGAAAAAGAGAAGTTGCAAAAAATGATCCAGTCCGTGATACACTTCAATCTAAACTTTGTACTTTTACATTTTTGTTGTTTTTTTCCATTCGGATAGTTGAATTGCTGTCACCTTTTTGTCTTAATTGATAATAAAGGTGATTGTGTTTCAGTTGTTCCTTGTGAAAGAGATTTTAGATTCTGTCTTTTAATTTTAGTTATAATGAAAACTGTTTGCACTCCTTACTTGTCTGTAGCAGTGGGGCGTGAGTAATTTCATATATTCTCCAGTGAGAGGTAAACATATATATAATACTGGTCAAATTCTGAAAATGATGATATTTTATATATTTATATATCTATGTATTATATTCTTCATGCATGATACAGTGATGTATGTACTTTCGGTGCTGTGCCTGGAAGTATGTTATCAGTGCATCATCAACCTGCCGGTAAAACAACCACGACATTCCTATCGGTATGGCTAGTTCTCAACTGGAATGCTGAGGATGTTAACTGATGCATGGTACAAAACCTAAATGATCCTTCTGGGTTATTTTACTATCAGATGAATGACCTAAGTGATCCTCATGAATGACTTGTTCTTCTGGATTACTTAGATTGTTTAACTGGTATAAAGGATAATATTACCAGTCTAACAACCACGGTATTCCTATCGGTATGGCTAGTCCTCCACCGGAACGCTGAGGATGTTTAACTGGTATATATGTAACACAGATATAGTCAAATGAATAATTCAAGTATTCCTCATGAATGGCTTGTCCTTCTGATTTTCTTGGATTAGTCAATTGACATATCTATAACCAGCTGACCTAAGAAGTTGCTGTGTTATGATTACTACCACCTGTTGACCTAAGATGTGGCTGTGTTATGGTTTATTATATATGCACCTACTATTATGAAAACAAATGAATATTTTAAGTATTCCTCATGAATGACTTGTCCTTCTAGTTTGCTTGGATTAATCAGTTGTCATGGATACCACCAGCTAACCTAAGAAGTTGTTGTGTGATGATTTATATACATCAGACTTACCAATTGACTTACCAGTAAAATGGAAGTTGATTGTTGTAAGGTAGCATTTCCAGCATTTAACCAATATAACGCATATGAGATCCTTGAACTGAATGATACTTTTTATTATTGTCTGCACATAACTGTTTACTTAGACTAGTTATCAATTTAAGCTCACATCACAAGCTATCACATGCTGTCTTATTCGAATTAGCAACTTTACTATTTTATTTCGTTTTCAAATTGTTAAAACTCTTCGTGAGATCGATACTTAGACTTAAAACTGAGAAAATTACAATTCGACCACTTATACTTGGGTGTATAATATTAATCTGATCACTAAAAAAGTGCGCATCAAGTTTTTGGCGTCGTTACTGGGGAGTTACGGTAATTTAAAATTAGATAAAATACAAAAGTTTAGTTATATTATATGTATATAAAGTGTGTTTTTTTTAAATAGTTTATGTCTGTTCATTCATCCGTAGGATCTGTAAACCAATCATCTTCTTCGTCTTCATCATCTTCATCTACTCAAGAATCCTTTGAATTAAGTATGGCTAGAAACGTACCTAGACAAGAACAACCTAGAGAACAAGAAATAGTTCAAAATATTCGACAATTAAGAGAATATCTACACTCTACACGAACTAATGTCCCGTCATGCTTTTCTTTTCCACCAGATGTTCCAAATCTTAACATTAAACCAAGAACAATACAATTATTACCACAATTTCATGGTCTAGAAACTGAAAACCCTTATGTTCATATGAAAGAATTTGAAGAAGTCTGTGGAACTTTGCAAGATAATTCTAATATGGTCAAATTAAAATTTTTTCCTTTTTCTTTGAAAGATAAAACAAAACAGTGACTTAGCTCTTTAAGAGCCAATTCAATCACAAACTGACAAGCTTCACAAGCTGAGTTCCTTAAAAAGTTTTTTCCTGTACATCGTACAAATACATTAAGACGTCAAATAATGAACTTTTCTATAAAAGAAGGGAAAACTTTTTATCAATGTTGGGAAAGATTTAAAGATCTTCTTGAAGCTTGTCCACATAATGCATTTGAAAACTAGACCTTAGTTGATTTTTTCTATGATGCTCTTCCACCTACAATGCGACAATTTGTTGAAATGATGACACAAGGGAAATTTATGAGTAAAAATCCTGAAGAAGCATTTCAATTTTTTGATACTATTTCTGAGAGTTCCTAGATGTGGAACTCAACTTCTTCAACTATAATAGAAACTAAGCCATCTACATCTGAAAGACCAAAATATGTGTTAAAAGATGATGATGATTTAAGAGCTAAAATGACAAGTTTATCTCGAAAACTAGAGGCTTTAGAAATGAAGAAAATAAAACAAGTATCTGTTATTTCAACTACTGATCAAATTTGTGAAATTTGTGCGCTGTCAGGACATTCTGCAGCAGAGTGTCCAACTATACCTGTATTTAAAGAAGTGTTAATTGAACAATCTAATGCTATTCCAACTTATAATAATAAGCCTGATATGAATCCATACTCTGAAACTTACAACCTAGGATTGAGAAATCATCTGAATTTTAGTTGGAGAAATACATAACCCATAAATCAAACACAAGGTCAACCACAACCACAAAATCAACAATATCAACCATATCAACNAAATTAACCCAGTCATTGAGTACTTCGGAGAAAGGAAAGTTTCCATCTCAACCTAAACCTCCACAAAGTCAGAGTCAAGCTAATGTTGTGTCATTTTAAGCCTCTCCAAGTCAAGTACAAGCAATCACAACACTAAGAAGTGGTAAGATCATTGACAAAACTATTAAACCAAAAATTTCAAAAGAAATACGTAAAGAAATTCCTATTAATGAACCACTTGAACCTGAACCTTCAATTGAAAAATTACCAGAAATACAAAATAAAAAAGATCAACTATGTCCTATTCCTTTACCTTTTCCTCAAAGGATCAAGAAACTTTCATCTGAAAAAGATCAATCTGAAATTTTTGAACTATTCAAACAAGTCAAGATCAACATTCCTTTGTTATATGCAATAAAACGAGTTCCAGCTTATGCTAAATTTTTAAAGATCTTTGCACAATAAAAAGAAGAACTAATGTACCAAAAAAGGCATTTTCAATTGAATAAGTTAATACTATAATACAACATCATACTCTTCTTAAGTACAAAGATCCAAGTAGTCCTACAGTCTCATGCATCATTAGAAATTTTTAAATGAAAGAAANTATAATACAACATCATACTCTTCTTAAGTACAAAGATCCGAGTAGTCCTACAGTCTCATGCATCATTAGAAATTTTCAAATGAAAGAAGCTCTGCTAGATCTTGGATCCAGTTGTAATTTAATGTCATATTCAGTCTATACACAATTAGGATTAAGTGAACTAAAACCTTCCAATATCACACTACAATTAGCAGATCGATCAATAAAAATTTCACAAGGAATTGTGGAAGATGTTATTGTCAAAGTTGATCAATTCTATTCTCTAGTAGATTTTATTTTTATAGATACATAACCAAATTATTATGAATCTGCATATATACCTTTGATTCTAGGTTGACCATTCTTAGCTACATCAAATGCTTTTGATTAATTGCAGAAATGAAATTATGAAACTTTCATTTGAAAATATGACCTTGGAACTAAATGTTTTTAATAGTGCTAAACAACCTAGAGAAGAAGATGATGTGTATGAAATAAATTGTGTTAAAACATTAACCCAAAAGTTTTTTGAAAAGTTTTTCTAGAAAAAGATTTAAATATAGTAAAATCTATATCTGAAAATGAATCAGAAAATCTAGAAAATCCAAAATATGAAAATCTGTTATTTAAACCTGTAGAATCCAATGTTAAAATCTTTAAGCCGGATTTAAAACCACTTCCAATCAACTTTGAAATATGTTTTTTTGGAAAAAAAAATGAAATTCATCTTGTAATCACATCATCAAAATTATTTGAAAGTCAAGAAAAAGAATTAACAAAAGTATTAACAAATCATCAAAGTGTTCTTGGATGGACAATAGCTGATATAAAAGGTATAAGCCCACTGCTGTGTACTTATTGTATATATTTAGAAGAAAATGCTAAACCATCTTATCAAATGCAGAGAAGATTAAATCCACATTTGAAAGAAGTAGTTTGCAATGAAGTACTTAAACTATTAGATGCAAATGTTATTTATCCTATATCTGATAGTAAATGACTTAGTCCTACACAAGTAGTCCCAAAAAAATCTGGTGTTACTGTAATACAAAATAAAGAAAATGAATTAGTCCCAATGCGTACTGTCATAGACTGGCGTGTATGTATTGACTATCAAAAGCTAAATTCACTCACCAAAAAAGATCACTTTTCATTGTCTTTTCTTGACCAAGTCTTAGAAAGAATAGCTGATCATGCATATTATTGCTTCCTAGATGGATATTCTGGTTATAAT